CGGGGCTGCAACTGCCACTCGTGAGAGCAGCAGCCGCCGGCTTGAGATGAGAGACGGCATGGGAATGGTTGTTGGCCGATGGAAATGGTGGGTGTCGGCGCGAGGGGAGGAGAGGAGGCGAGGAAGAGATAAAAGAGTGTGGGCTCGGAAGGGGAGAGGGCGGCGGCGGCTCTGAGGTCGACGCAGGAGGAGACGACGCGGTGGCGATCTGGTCGGCTAACGGCGCCATGTGCGACGAAGATTGTGGATGGATCATTGTCCCTCGTGCTCGCCGCGTCCAGGGGAGGAGGCGGGCATGGCAGCGTGAGGGCAACGGGGAGAGCAGCGGTGGCGGCGAACACGGCGTTGGGAGTGGAAGGGGAGATGCGAGAGCATGGTGGCCGCTGCAAGAGAGAAGGAGAGGGGTGCGGCAGGGATGGCGGCTAGGGTTCTCGCCCAATCGGGCTCGCTCCTCCGCTTTACACAGAAACAACCCATCCACAACACGTCACGCAAGGGCAAGGACGCTAAATTCCGTAAATGCCCTCGGCGGGATCAGAAAATTACAGGCGGTGGCAAGATTTTTTGACCGCGGGCCGCCCGCACCGGGTGTCTGCGCACGGGAGCCACAGACAGGTGTGGCCCACCATCGGCGCACCCCACCATCAGAAAGACACGCCTAAATATCCCGCGGTGAGAAAAAAATTCACTACTCATTGCTCCATCCATCCATTATATCCAACGGCCGAGAACAAACAGAAGGTCGATCCAAAGGTCCAGAACACATCAAGCTTGAGACCGGACGGCCCAAAATCGCTGAGCTCTGAGGAGGCCCAGGTTCAGACGTGAATCTAAGGGTTTCTTTGATTCAAAGAATTTGCATAGGAATTCTGAAGGATTAAAATCCTTAGGATTTTTTCCTATATTGGTTGTTTGACTCACAGGATTGAATTCTATAGGATTTTTTCTTAAGGATTTTTTGTACTACTTCTCATAGGATTTATAGCATCCAGTCAAACTTCTTTGAAAGAATCTTTCGTTTTTCCTATGATGCAATCAAACAATCTAAACTCTTATAGAATTAAGATGAGCATGATATTTTAATACTATGATTTTTCTACAATCCTGCGAATTAAAGAGGTCCTAAGTATGGGATGCATGCCTTGGCGCTGGCTTTGATTGCCGGTCGCCCGCATGCACTTACTCTCGATTTTTTTTTGAAATGGAACACACCAATTCCATACTTAAACTGGCTCAGCCAAATTGCTGGCCATACAAACTAGTACATCGTTTGGCAGGCCCTCCGGCCAAAGCTGGGTAGCCGCCTGTTGGGTGGCACCAAAGGCAGCAATAGTATGCGCAAGATTATTAGGCCCTCCACTATGTGTTCGGTGCCAGAAATTTAAAAAGTTTGTCACATACACTTCGATGCCAAATGTAAAAAGTTTAGCACCGGCACCACAACGTGAAGGATTTGGCACCCATCCACCTCTGGCCCACCTACGTATAAACTAGTAATATATCAGCTCAAAGCAGTGTCTCGCCGGTGGTGCCTCGCATGCAAAAGTACAGTGGCTGCCTAGTTTATTGCCTCAACGAAATATGGCGTCGGAGCAAGTAGAGGAATCGATGCCCTGAAATTTTTATTTGGCATCGGCTGGGCTATGTAGGACACCGGTGCCAAATGTTCAAAAAGTGAATTTGGCATCGGTTTTGGCCTACATAGTGGAGGGCCTTACAGGCCCGGGGGCAAAAGAGAACGAGCAAGCATTAAAATTTCGGCGAGCAAAGACTCTGATTTCTTTAAACAGGATGCCTTCCAGTGTCCGGTCTAGCTCAGAGCTTTGTAGCGCTTTGACGAGCGTCTGGCAATCAGACTCCAACTGCACATACTGCATACCCTGTTGCGAGGCCGCCTGTAACGCTACACCGCATGCCGACGCTTCCGTCTGCAGCGCACTTGCTACATGCCGCAAGCAACCCGCGCCGGAGCCTCTCACGTCTCCAGCCTAGTCGCGGATCACAAAGCCCCAGCCTCCCGACCCATCGGCTCTCGATTGTTAGGCCAACTCCACCGCGCGACCCTATCCTATCCATTCCCGTTTGTTTGAGGTAAAACGGACAAACGAGACGGCCCAGCGCGTGAGCATAAACGGACTTTTGTCCGTTTTGTGTCCGCTTTCGACCCATCCCCGACCCAAGTTTGTGCCAGTTTTGGGGTGAAACGGACAGCGCGCGGACGGGCGGGACGCACGCGCTTGTCCTCTCCTGACCCACTTGTCGGTGGGAGAAACCAAAACCCCCCACGCCCATTTGCTGCCATTTCCCCCAAACCCTTCCACGTCCCTCCCGCCGCCCCTCTCTCCCCCGACCATGGCCGACGCCCGCCGAGTTCCGGCGGCCTGGTCGTCGACCCGCCCGCAAAGGTGAAGAAGAAGGCGCCAAGGAAGCCGCGGTCGGAGTGCACGTCGGAGGAGATCGCCAAGTTGGACGCGGAATCGACGAAGAGGAGGGAACGGAGAGCGGCCGTCAAGGTCAATGCCGCCGTGGCCAAGTTCGCTGCCCAGCGCGAGGAGCTGGAGGCCGCGCGGCGCAAGGCCGCTACCGACGAGAAGGAGGACCTCGTCAACAAAGCGCACGCCATCCTCATGCTTGGCATGGGACGTCCGGCCGGGTTCCCTGCAGCGACCGTCGGCCCGGCGAGCACAGGCTCGTCGGTCGCCCGGCCTACGCACTGCCAGTCGCCGATGTCGCGCGCCGCGCCCATGTCGCCCGGCTTTTCTCCGCCAAGGCACGACGGCCAGACCCGTTTCTCGGCGTCGCCGGACATGGGCTTGTTCGCGCCGTCCACACCGCGCCCCGCGACCGTCATCGACATCAACGTCACGCCTGGGTCCAGCAGCGGCGGGAGGCCGTCCGTCGAGATGCAAAGAAAGCAGGCACGGGCACCGTTCACGGGCACCATGCCGGCCCCTCGCGTCTTGTTTGACGGAATGCCAACCCCAACGCCAACGGTCGACGACCCCTTCTACAACCAGTACATGGAGAACGTGATCTTTGAGGGTAGGCATGGCCGTGCCTACGACCCCGAGGAGACCCAAAGTCAGGATGGCCGCGCCGAGTACATGCCCGATGAAGAGGCCGATGACCGTGCTGACTACGACCATGGTGACTCATGGCATGAAGACGATGACATCTATGTCGAAGGTGATGAAGAAGAAGGCAATGACGTTGATATTAGTGGCGAGCCATTGTTCATCGACGAGCTCACCCAAAGAGCGGAAGCACAAAAGAAGAGGAAGAGCATTCACACGGGTTCATACACACAAGATGAGGACAAGTTGATTTGCCAAGCTTGGATGGAGATTAGCCAAGATCTGAGGACCGGTGCGCAACAAAAGGGCGTTGTTTTTTGGACGAGAGTCCACAAAACATTTCATGAAAGGAAGATGTTTGAGCCCTACCAATTTACAAGCAACCGTGGCATCGGCTCGATTCAAAAGAGATGGTTGTTCATCCAACAAGAGTGCAACAAGTATTGCGCCGCATTTGAGAGCGTTGAAACACGGCCCGTGAGTGGTCTCGGTGTTGGGGACATGGTATGCTCTCCTCTTCCTAGCCCTTTCCTTGCTACGGCCATGACACTTCGACCGTGTATATGTTTGCATGTTCACTTGTTGTTGATCATGCGATTTAGACATTTCAATCTTTGGAGGCATTCAAGGCCCGGCACAATGACAAGCCATTCACTCTTACGCATTGTTGGACGATTATCAACAATTGCCCTAAGTTCAAGGACCAATACCGTGAACTACAAAGGAAGAGAGGACTAAAGACGACCAAGTACGCCGGAGGTGAAGATGGCGAGGCCTTGAAGAGGCCGAGGGGCAAGACCAACTCCAAGGTTGATGACATACGTGATGCCTCATCCATGGCATTGCATGACACTTTGCATGGCATGATGTCCCAAAAGGATGTGAGGGACGAGAAGAAGCGGCAAAGCAAGGAGGAGCAAATGAAGCAATACGTAGACATTCAAACAAAGAAGCTTGAGATGGAGGAGGCGGCCAAGAGGAGGAAGATCGACATGAAGGCGGCGGCCCGACAAAGGCAGCTCGACATCGAGGCCGACAACGTCAAGGCCAGACAGAGGCAGCTCGACATCGAGGCCACGAACGCCGCCACCAAAGTGAAGGAGGTGGCCCTTGCGATCATGAGCGTGGACTTGTCGAAGATGAGCGACAAGACGAGGGCCTGGTTCGAGGCCAAACAGAAGGAGATGCTCGAAGCCGAAGGCCTGAACTAGGTTGTCCGATCGGCCGTGGCCGTTCTTTTTGGAGGCTGGCATGGGTGCCGCCTGCCTGCTGGGCCGCTGGCTGTGTGCCAGCGAGAAAACATTCATTTTGGTGGTCGGCTGTGTTGCCGGCCGCTGGCTGATGCTGGCGATGGACGTGTAGGCCGTTGGCTCTGTTGCCGGCGTGATGAACCGGGGCCGCTTGCCTGAACTAGGGCTTGGCATTTGAAATGTTGCTTCTGCTTTTTTAAATAGACACAGATAGGATGGGACAAATGGGCGCACGGCCACCATATCCTAAGACATGCCCGGACATGATCTCAAATCGCTACCCAAACGGACAAAATCCGGATAAAACGGACGTTCGTTTGGGGTCACGTGGTGGAGTTGGCCTTAAATGCGAATGAATAGGAGGAGTAGAGTGCTAGCAGAATCCTTCAGTTCGGGGGTGGGGTAGCTGGCTCGTGACTTGATTCTTCGGTCCACTCGGCTGGACTTTCAGACGGCCTCTTCTGTCGTCTAGATAAAACTAGTCACTGCAGCTCGCTGCAGCCTGCTACTGACTGCATCTTCAGTGCATATTTCTTTCTGTAGTAAATTTCTGCCTGTGAATTTCTGCCTGTGACGATATAGTGGAGTGTCCACCGTCTTTGCACAAACCCATCCGCGGGGAGAAGCTCTTTGGGAAAGCAAATCTGAAGCCATTGGAGTAGGAACTTCGCCCGCCATGGCTGCTTCTTCTTCTTCCTCCTCCTCGTCCTCCTCCTCGTCCTCTCCGTCCTCCCCCTCCGACCCGGACTACAAGGTCACCACCTCTGACATCGAGGACGACGCCGCCGGGGTCGAGCCCCCATCGTCGGACGAGGAATTCCCCTCCGTCTTCCGCACGCAGGGCCACGTGGACGCGGTGTGCATGAAGTACGGCATCCCCAAGGACCAGTACACCGCCCTCCCCGCCGGCGACCTGCGCGCGAGCTCGTCCCCACCGCACGGCGCCGTCTGCGTGTACGCGCACGCGCTGGAGGCCGGGATGCGCGTCCCTCTTCACCCCTTCTTCGTCGACGCGCTCAACCACTTCGGCCTCGCGCCGACGCAGCTCGCGCCCAACGGGTGGCGCATCATGGCGGGATTCATTGTGCTCTGCCGCTCCGCTGGCGTGCCGCCGTCCCTCGCGGTGTTCCGGCGCTTCTTCGTGCTGTCCGCCCTCCCCCACAAGCACAAAAGAGGCTGGTACTACTTCCAACCCAGGTCGAAGGGCGGATCCGGCTTGCGCTTCACGGGGTTGCCGGAGTCCATCAAGGGTTGGAAGCGCGGGTTCTTCTTCCTCTCTTCGCCGACCGCGTGGCCTTGTCCTGTGGAATGGGGCAAGCCGTCCAAGAGCTCCCTCGTGGACCCTGTGCTCTCCGCCGAAGATGAGGCATCGGCGGCCAAGTTGCTATCTGCTCAGGGAGCCTCCTCCATTGATCTCAGGAAGTATCTTTGCATCAGAAATCTTGCCGAGGCCGGGATATCTCCCTTGCCGGCACCGGTACGGGCGCCGCCATCACCGCAGCTCCCGGCACCGGAGCCGTCGTCACCGCAGCCGCCGCCTTCTTGTACTTGTACTGCTACCGAGTCCAAAGGGATGGATCCGGCAGTGTACGGCATGATGAAATCCATGCTGGCAGTGAAGGCGGCGGTGGCAAGAACATTGGCATCGACGAACAAGGTGGAAATTGAGCCGGGCAGCGACGTGACGAGATCGCCGCCGTTGCGTGGGAAGAAGAGGAATCTGGGAGAAGCAGACGGCAGCGACGGCCCACCATCTGTGCTGCCAGACACTCCGTCTACCGCCGGTGACAGCTCGGCGCCGACCGGAATTTGTTCCCCGCCCGAGGCCTTCTCCCGGAGCAGCCGGAAGATTCAGCATATTCCCAGCGGACACGACGGCGACAGCACCGACTGGGTGGCCGCGCGGGAGAGGCTGCGGGGCGCCGTCCCGCCGCAGCAGGACCGCGTGTTTGCGGCGACGGAGCCCTCCGACATCGTCGCGTCCACCTACGTCGCCGTTCTTCAGGTATGCTAGTACATTGCTTGTCCGCGGTCGGATCGATTTCACTGGTTGTAGTATTTGTGCGTGGACGGCAACGACGCATGCGTGCAGGCTGCAAACTACGCGTCCTTCTCCTTGGCCTACGCGCTGGAGCTGGAGCAGCGGCTGGACGCGCGGGACGCGGCTGGAGAGGTCGGAGGCCAAGCTCGCCGCGGCGGAGGCGGAGGTGGAGACGGTGAAGGCCGAGCGCGCCGTGCGGCGACGCGCGCAGGACGCGCTGGATGGTTACGAGCGCTGGCGGGGCGCGAACGCGGGGCAGAGGACGTGAAGCGCGCTGTGCGCTCTAGCTGTCCTCTCTACGCCGTTCGGCAGGTCAGGCGGACGCTTAATTACCTTGTAGATTAATCTTTTGGAATACTACTCCTGAAGCCTCGTTGATGATCTTTTGCACACGACTGTTCTGTGTTCCAGATCGACCAACATTTTGGGGTCAAATTCACTGTTTTGAACCTTATGCAAAAGTTTAGCACGATTTGACCCTGTTTGTAAAAAAACATCAGATTTGACCATTTTTCCTACCGAGGTTGACATTGGCGGTAGAATATAACAGGATACCGTCGTGATCAACTACGGTAGACTTCTGGTCAACACAACAATGTGGCAGCGATATGGCAAGTACGGCCTGACCTTGTCCACGTGCCGGGCCTGGGCCTAATTTTTGAGTCTGAAGGTCAGGCTGGGCATGGGCCTGCCATATTAGCGATTTATCGAAAAGGCCTAGTGGGCTTTTACACCGGCGGGCTAGGCTTGGGCCTGATTTTTAGGCCTGACGCCTGAGGCGGGCTGGACCCGACCTGAACCCGAGCCTAGGTTTTCTACATTGGGCCTGGTTAGGCCTGGTCCGACCCGATATGAGGGATGGCTAGGTATAATGGCAAGTGGCTACTGCCACAGCCCCTGGGCTAACCTGAATGGCATAAATAGCGTGTGTTGCTATGTTATACTAGTGGTTGGTGTTCCTGGGCGGTGTCAGAAAGGTGACCGCACTTTCTCTTTCTTTTTACAACTTCTGAATAGAAAGGCAAGGTAAGGAAATGCCCCTTTCAGTGCCTTTTTTTTTTGCACTTGACAGGACAAGTGCATATACAACTGGTTATCAAACTCAACAAATAAACAAGCAATCTTAACATTATGTCTCTAGAAGATAGTCCTCTCCATCATGCCATCATATTGCATCGCATCCGCCTTCGCATCCTCACCGCTCTCCGTTGCCCCAATGAGCCGACGCTCACCTTCATCATCGCCTTCTTGAGCAGCTGATCCTTCGCCATCTTATTAGTCCTCAACACAGTCCACGTCGCGAGCATTGCAGAAGAAGTAGCAATCCTTGTCGTAGACGCCAGGGGTTTGCGGGATGAAGGGCACGATGCAGGGCATAAACTAGAGCACACACATGGAGTGGATGCGGAACTGGAACGCTAGCATTTGAACGATGGAAAGTTCCCGCTCGCTGTCGTTGTGGTGCCTGCCGCCGAGGCCAACGTGACTATGCCGCATGTAGTGTCTTAGAGCAGGCGGAGATTGTGCGCCGCGCTCCCATTGCGCGCCCACGAGCAAAGAGGATCACCTTTGATCATTGAACCCTTGCCAATGCTGAAAGCAAATGGCTCCTGCCAAGGGTCATTGGTTCTGAAAAAATAAACATAATACCATAAGATAAATTTCTAATGCAAAAGAATGTGCAAAATGCTGCATCCAAGAGTTATGATCTATAAGGCATGGTAGCGCAATTGTTACAGATGAAATATTTATACACGAAACATGGTAAGAGAAATGCTGCATTGTTCACAATATTTACTGCACGGAAGCTAAGCCATGGCCCGTGAATCACAAAAAATAAAGAAGACTATTCATGATTTACCTCTAAAACTTGGTGGACAAATAAATTAACACTGGATAGCAACATGACAAGAAACAAAAGTTAGCCAGCCCTTAAACTAATACAGGATAAGAAGTCTAAAATCTATCAGAAAAGGTAGCTATACTGGACAATGGTACACTTGCAACTCAAAAAAAATCGTGGTAAACTTTCGCATAAGGTTCAGAACAATGAATTTGGCCACATTTTGTTGGTTCTTTGCAGCACACAAGTGGTTAATTTGCTAACATAATATTCGCCGGATTTGTTATTCGTGGTTTGCTAACTTTATGTTCATACAATTTTGCTAAACAACATCTAGATGTGCCCTATTGCACATCTAAAGCATATGCCATTTATTTTAGGTGATGATTCATGTGGGTATCTTATTTTTCCTTTTCTTTCCTTTTTATGTTTGCTAGAGTTACTTAGATGAGTAGTAACTAGGGCACATTTAGATATGTTGTAGAAAAACTCATATTCATACTTCACTAATTATCATCTGCATAAAAAGAAGTTAAGTCTTATCTAATTCCTTGATTACATGATCCACGCGTCCATATTCTAGTTTTCGCTGCGTTGCATTGCGCTGCATTGCTTGTGGTTTTTCCATGGCATACCGCCAGGGCGCACCTATGTTAACGAGATTATGTCTTGCTTGAAGGGAACCCTCACGTGAAGGGAAGCCCGAGAAGGGCCAACCCAGGCGCACACAAGGCCCAAGCCTTGTTTTTTCCACGGTTTCATTTTCGTTTTTGCTTTACTTTTTACTTTTGTTTATGCTTTCAAATATTCTAAATATATATATGACGAAAAATACTCTACATAAAATTTTGAAAATATTAACAAAGGAATTAAAAAAAATGTTAAATGTGTATATAGAAAATGTTTATCATATATACAAAATATGTATTTAAAAAAATTAATCAAGCATTTGAAAAATGTTTAACAATTATATGGAAAATTATAAATGTGTATACAAAAATGTTGACACTGTATTAAAAAGTGATGAATTTTTTTTGATCATTTATATAAATATGTGGATCAAGCATTTGATAAACTAGATGATCCCCTGCGCGTTGCCGCGGGAATTTGTAGTAGCAATATGCATCCTAAATGTTTATGTATTGAGTAATAGTAGTTAAATCAAAATGTGATAGCTCCCCTATTAAAAAGTGAATATTGTAACTACATAAAGTTTATTATGTTTGCATGAATAACTCATTGTTCAACTGTAAACATAACAGCTTGTAAGAGGTGTGCTTGTGGTTTGTGCCCTCTTCTGTAAATTGTGTGGAGATCTGTCATTACATTTCTAATGCAATCATCTGTTACAGCCGGGTAAGCATATGCTTCGGGTTGTTTCATAGGATTCTCAATTTCACTAGTGAACAAACTTTAGTATAGAGGTGTAGAGGTATCACGTGCCTATTACTTTATTGTGAGTGTTGAATTCATCCCCTCTATACCAACCATTAGTATTCAAGTGCAGAAACTTACTTGGAGGGCAAAGAGTGTACATGATGTGATAGTGACTACTTGCAGTCATTATGTCAAGCATATTTGAAATATGAAATGTAGCAAGTAGCAATAGCTAACTCAAGACAATATTCTAGGAAAATAAGCCTATAGGGTAGTAAAATTCTTGCAATCAGGAATCTATAATACCTAAATAGTTTATCCCCACTAATCTATTTCTCTTGACATGCAAGCTATCCACGTCAACGACCTAGCCACATCAGCGTTTCACTACATTGTCGTGCGTCCACATCATCATCTTGCTTGCACCATCCTACATGTTCCCTTCCACGACTGATTTATTGCCAGTACTGGTCTACGACGCCGCATCATCCGAGTGCTGAGGCCCACACCTTGCCGTCTGATCCCCTTCCCTTGAGTGACACACCTTCCCGTCCTATCCCCTCCCCGTACGATATTGGCAACTGAAGAGGCGGTGATCCCTTAACTCTCCCCTACGATCTGTAAAGGTGCGCGGCCTTATGAACTTCGAGTGGGAAATCAAGAGCCCTTCATATTGGCACTACTCCTCTTCCGGTTGTCTCCGAGTTAGTATATATAGGACTAGATAGTAGATTTGTGTCTCCGTGCAACACCAAAAATCAAAGCAATCAATCTCCTTCTGTTATCAGGGCTTCCGGCGGCCAAATCTGTCGATCTGTCTACCCTCACCAGGAGTTCTCGGCAGATGGAGAGGGATAAGGGAGGTGGTGCGCTAGAGCAGAGTGTAGAGTTGTGTCTAGGGTTTCTGTGGTCGTGCATGTCAGGTGGAGGAGGGTGGGCTGCAGAGGAATAAAGCCCCCTGACTCCATCCCTGTCGTGGTCGTGTGAGTTCCGGTGAGGTCGGGTATGCTCCTTCATGGTGCTGCTGCTAGGTATGTGGGGATAATAATGAGATAATGTACACGAGTCCTTTTTTTGCCTTGAGGTGGGGCGGCTGTAGTTGTATGGATTGTGTTGACTCGGCGACGCCGGTAAGTGGCTTCTCATGTTTTCCTCCGATCATTGGGGTGATTGCTGAAGGAAATATGCCCTAGAGGCAATAATAAAGTTATTATTTTATTTCCTTATATCATGATAAATGTTTATTGTTCATGCTAGAATTATATTATCCGGAAACATAATACTTGTGTGAATACATAGACAAACTAAACGTCACTAGTATGCCTCTACTTGACTAGCTCGTTAATCAAAGATGGTTATGTTTTCTAACCATAGACATGTGTTGTCATTTGATTAACGGGATGACATTATTAGGAGAATGATGTGATTGACATGACCCATTCCATTAGCTTAGCACCCGATCGTTTAGTATGTTGCTATTGCTTTCTTCATGACTTATACCTGTTCCTATAACTATGAGATTATGCAACTCCTGTTTGCCAGAGGAACACTTTGTGTGCTACCAAAGTGACAACATAACTGGGTGATTATAAAGGAGCTCTACAGGTGTCTCCAAAGATACATGTTGGGTTGGCGTATTTCGAGATTAGGATTTGTCACTCCGATTGTCGGAGAGGTATCTCTGGGCCCTCTCGGTAATGCACATCACATATGCCTTGCAAGCATTGCAACTAATGAGTTAGTTGTGAGATGATGTATTACGAAATGAGTAAAGAGACTTGCCGGTAACGAGATTGAACTAGGTATTGAGATACCGACGATCGAATCTCGGGCAAGTAACATACCGATGACAAAGGGAACAAAGTATGTTGTTATGCGTTCTGACCGATAAAGATCTTCGTAGAATATGCAGGAGCCAATATGAGCATCCAAGTTCCGCTATTGGTTATTGACTGGAGACATGTCTTGGTCATGTCTACATTGTTCTCGAACCCGTAGGGTCCGCACGCTTAACGTTACAATGACAGTTTCATTATGAGTTTATATATTTTGATGTACCGAAGGAGTTCGGAGTCCCGGATGTGATCACGGACATGACGAGGAGTCTCGAAATGGTCGAGACATA